CAGGGGCAACTCCGGAATGGAAGAGTGTCCAACCCCTCTCAAGGAAACTGGTTCCAGAGCCAGAGCCATGCGTTGAAGTGAGTCCGACTATTTCTAGCCGGAATCTCTCAACCTCACACACCAGCTCAGGCTTCTTCCCCACCAGAGAGGTGAAAATCCATGTCCCAATAGCCAGCTTCTGTAGCCATGGATCAGACCGCCAGGGTCCCCGCCCTCGGCCACCACCCATCCCACATTGCACCTGACCCCTTTGGCCCCTCCCACAGGTGGTGAGCCCATGGGACGGGATTTTAAAATTGGGGCTTGTCAGGAATCCATGGCCGTGTTGGAAATGTTCACTCATTCACTTATAAGTAAACTAAAATGCAGTGAGTGTATTCACTGCATTTTAGTCACTAGTAGAGACAGTACCAATAGACAATACAGTCCAGTACTACATTGTACTTACTAATTGCTAGCTACCACTTACTAAATACTACTGACTAGGTACATACCAAGTACTTACCAGGTACATCACAGGGTATTTACCTGGTATGCACTTGAATGGAAATGGGTACTTACCTAGTACCTCAGAAAGTACTTATTGGTTGTTCATCTTCAACTGTTTAGCCCAATTCAACATGGCCACTACAGCTAATCAGCCTTACCAATGCAATGGGTTCAGTCGGTTTTACAAATATTGAGATCAAATCTGGTTTGGTAGAAGTTGAGAATTGTCCCATCGCATACACATGATGATAACAAATTTTCTAAGTTCTTTGTTAAAACCCTTCACAGCAAGTTGGCGGGATGCATTTCTTCTAGGGTTCACTTATTCATTTCAATGATTACTCTGATCATCTCTCTCAGGTTGTTACATGAACTTCTTGTGCATGTTTACCCATGAGCAATAGCAACATGCAAATTATCTCAATTAGGACGGTCTTGTTTTTATAAACAAATTTTCAAATGAGCGAAAAAGGCTTTCTTTCCTCTTTCAACAGTCTTTATTGAAAAACAACTGAGGAATGTAAAACTATAAAGGTTGAATGAATATGTCCTGGTTCATGCTCACTTATCAGGGAGATAAATCTAAGAAGGTTAAGTCAGATTCTCTGGACATATTCAATCTGTCCAGATGACCTGACCTTGTTAGATAACTATAAATGCTTGTTGTTGTTGTTGTTGTTTAAATGTTGCTGTAGAATCTGCCTAAAATGTTTTGAAAAACATTCGCCAATCTTTATCATATTTGAGTCAACTCTGTAAGTCCAGTTTTGTCAATGAAATGATAATTGTTTGCATTATTTAGGCTTAGGTAATTAGAAACATGTTGTACATGGAAGAAAATGGTAATTATTTTGAGGTACGTCAACATTTGAAGTCAAAGGTGAAAATAGAAGTAAAAACAGGAACACACGATGAATCACAGTCCAAATGATTAGTTTTCAGCTGTAAATTTTCCTCTGTTAATCATTTCTTCCTGCACTCATTTTTTTCTTCCATTCAGTCTTTCCTTCCCTGGATTTACCCAAAAACCCCCTGTCCTAGAAGACAAAGCCTAGGGTCAGAGAAGGTCAAGCCTACCACTGGCATCTGCTAATTGTCGCTATGAGCCGTCCTCTCCTGTCCCTTCAATACCAGCTACTCTGTAGGTATCTGAAGCTATAGGCACTCACTGACAGCTGCTACATTCAGGAACATTTACACCTCACACCCACCACTCTCTCCATCAACCCATATCCCTGCTGGAGCTCTGTCACACAGATTATTTGGAAGCTTTCAGCACTAATGTGGTTTAAAGATAGGACATTATGTGAAATTGTAAAGTTAATGGGACTATTGGAGATTCATGAAACCAATTAAATACTAAAGATGGGACATGTTATTGCCTGGCCCACTGCTTTTCATGCTGGCATTTTAAAGTAAGATGACTCTGTGAGCTCTCAGCTACTAACAAAACAAATTTTATCCCAAAATCTGTAAAACTGGGAAAGCTATTGACATTTACTGCTTGCTAAATTTTTGTTGTGAAGTGTTTGCTCAAATAAATTTTGCTAATGCCACAGACAAACTCACAGACAAAAAGAAAAACATTATTGCCTTCAGCAAACAAACAAGAACATGCAACAGGACAGCATTTACAGAGTACTTTAGCCTTTCTGACAACTTTAACTTTAACTTTGTCGGGTGTATCAGAGATGGACAAGAAACTGAGTACAGGGAACTGGTGGACCGCTTTGTGGCATGGTGTAGAAACAATCATCGCATCTTGAATGTGAACAAAACAAAAGAGATGATTGTAGATTTCAGGAGAAACAGGAACAAGTCCAACCTTATTTCCATCATGTGAGAAGAAGTGGAGGTGGTGGAGAAGTATAAATACCTTGGGGTTCACCTGGACAATAGACTGGACTGGAAATGCAACAGTGAAGCGTCTACAAGAAGGGACAGAGCAGACTGTACTTCTTGAGGAAGATGAAGTCCTTCAATGTTTGCAGCAAGATGCTGCATATCTTCTATAAGTCTGTTGTAGAGAGCGCTATCTCTTCTGCCATCATTTGCTGGGGTAGCAGCACCAGAGCAAGTGACTTAAAAAAAGATCAACAAGCTCATAAAGAAGGCTGGATCAGTTCTGGGGACTCCTCTAGAACCTTTGGAGATGATTGTACAAAGAAGGATTCTTCATAAAATGAAGAACATTATAGACAACCCTCAGCACCCTCTTCATCAGACTGTCATACAACAACAGTGTCTTCAGTCAGAGGCTTCTTCAGATCCGTTGTAGGACAGACCACTACAAGAGATCCTTCCTGCCCACAGCTATCAGCATCTATAACAACTCTTTAACAAAACCAGGATGATGAGTTACAATAAATTTTAATTTCCCTCTGGGATTAATAAAGTATTTTTGAATTGAATTGAACTTGAATTCAAGAACATTATACTCTACAAGTCACATTCACTCATTCACACACTCCAGCACATACTGATACACAGATTTGAGTTCTTCAAGGGGTTCAGTGTTCAAGGACACTTTAACGTGTGGTGGAAGAAGCTGGGATCCCACACCAACCTTCTAATTCACTCTTTCTTCTAAGCTACAGTCGATGCTGTACTTCATTCAGCTGAATGTAAGAATTGTCCTTCATACTTTCACTTTATATTTGACATGTAACAAGCATGAAAATGGGTAAAGGGGGCCATTGGTCACAGAAGAAACAAGAGGCCAAAGATAACCCCAATGGAGCTAAGCAGCTAGTGGGCAGCTGTAGGGTGAGGAGCTCCGTCATCCGGTGAGAACTCAGAGTAAAACAACTGCTGCTTCGTATTTAAAGGAGTCAGTTGAGGTGGTTTGGGAATCTGATTGCGATGCCTCCTGGACAGAGATGTGGGAAATATAAGACCCAGGGGCCAAAAGTGGCCCTTGGAAATACTACATCTGGCCCCAGAAATTCATCACTGATAAAAAATGGAAGGAGACAGGATCTTTGTGATGAACAGTCATTGCCGTATTGTATTTTGGGGTCTGAGAGATCCAGTACCCAGACACAAACAGAGTAATATTGTGTATGCTGTTCAGGGCTGTGATCAGTCTTACATCGGGGAAACTAAACAGCCACTGGCCAAAAGAATGGTCCAGCACAGAAGATCAACATCATCAGACTCATCATCAGGCCAGGACTCTGTGGTCTACACTCATCTCCAGGCCAGCGCTCACTCTTTCAGGGATGATGTTCACATTCTTGACAAAGAGGAACGATGGTGTGAGAGAGGAGTAAAGGAGGCCATCTTTGTGAAAAGAACTTGTCCATCATTAAACAGGGGCGGAGCCTCTGTGTTCACCTGTCCCCCTCTTACAATGCTGTTATTGCATCACTCAGCCCTCTGTAGATAGCAAGAAGCCATCAGGGTGCTAACGATCAGTTGTTAGGCTGATGGTCCTCCTTTTTCATGTGAACTCCTACCGGTAATTTTAGCTGTCACCAACAAACTGGTTGATCCACAGAAGGTGTTATTAATAAGACTGAGTTTGTTGCAGCTCCTCAGACTGAAGAAGTCTTTTGGATAAAAGATGAGACACTTCATCAAAGAAGAATCCGTCCAAAGGACATGACTTAACCTTGTTAAATTCATCTATTATTGAGCATGCAGCATGACGTGATAAAAGTAGCCCACTTAAATATTTGATAGCAGATTTACAGATTTTATTTTGACAAGACAGTCAGCATGATAAAATATTGAATTTCAGTGACACAATTAATTAAATAGGTATCCCAAAGTATTGAGTAATCAAAAATAAATTGGATCTGTGGTAAATTATAGTGTCTCACAAATGTAAAAAAAAAAAAAGAATGGTTGACTTTCTGTTGGGTTTACCTAATGGGTCAAGTGATGAATCCAAAATGTTTTTCAGTGATTCGTGTTTTTTTTTTTTTTCTGTTACCAGATGTGATACAGTACAGCACTTTTTAACGTGTGAAACATAAAACATAAAACTGTTTCCCCATGTAACTGAAAGAAGCTCTTCAGCAGCTGCTGTTATAACAGTAGTTCTCTTTTCTGCTGATCAGATACAAAGATTTGATCAGTAAAATTTTCCATGTTTTAGGACTGATCAGATTGTTTGGGGCTCCTAATTAAACGTTCTTGCACAAATGGCCCTTTGAAAACCAGGATAGAAGGGAGAATAAAGTTCTAACTTTCCCTTTGATAAGTTTATAAATTAGCATCACAACTAGCGCTCACGTGTCCTATTTGCAAATAATTACAAGCTGATTCACAAAAGGCAACATGAAGAGAGAGAAAGAGGGAACTTGTGGACCAGATGCCTGGCAATAAATGACATGCTCAAAGCCCCAGTCACTCAGGGCCATTGGGCCTTGGGTGGGGGGCCAATTGTTCTTACAAGACAAATGAGCCCACTCTGAAGAAAATGTACATTTGAAAGAGAGGCACGCGTATATAAACCGAGGCCTGACTCAGACTGAGACTCTGCTACCTGCCTTCACAGCAGCAACATGCAGCCGGCTGCAGCCAAGCTACAAGTCCACAGAACACCATATTCTGTGGCGGACATCTTGGATCCAACTAAATTTACAGGAAAACTAATCTCTGCTGAGGACGTATCAGCTACAAGTAAGAGCTCAGATCAAGAAAAAAATCATTCCAACTCCTGTTTTTTTGTTGCTGTTGTTGTTTGTGCTCATGATTTATTGCTCTCCTCCAGGTGCTCATCTTCTCAGGGAAGATCAGCATCAGACAGTAGGAGAAAGCTGCGGCCCAAAGAGTCACAGCTCGGGGGTCAAAGGCCGTCGGATTCGCACGGCCTTCACAGTGGAGCAGCTGCAGGTGCTGGAGCACAGCTTCCAGAGGTGCCACTACTTGTCGGTGCTGGAGCGGCACTCCATCGCCTCTGCCCTGCACCTGTCTGAGACCCAGGTCAAGATCTGGTTCCAGAACAGGCGCACCAAGTGGAAGAAGGAGCGCCTGCAGGGGAGGGAGGAGCAGCAGGACCTCACTTCGGCACCGTTAACATACAGCCCTCTGTTCTGCCAGCTGCACGCTCCGCTCCAGATGTTTGTGCCACTGCCACTCGGGCCTTATTGTCAGCATTACACATGATATGTAAACGTGCACAGAGGGACAATGAACATCAACAGAATCTCAATATTGAGGAGAAATTCTAAAATGGTTTTAAATAATAAGTGTTTTAAATTTCTAATAAAGCTTTAACTTATTTTGTATTTTTATTGATTTTTATTATAGTGAATTCAACCACAATGGACCAAGTGATGTTGGTTTAAAGTTTTGTTGATAAGTGGTCTAACTGGTGCAGGTAGACATTTAACTAAAGTTTTGCCTGGTCTAAAGTTTTTTATTTGTGCAAGGTAAAGACTTAATGAAGTATTTTACAAAACATTATTACAAAAATTAAACCTGGTAGAAAGAATTTACCAGTAACTGCAGGCTGATGAAAGTGTTAAAAAAAAATGATGCAAACTTTAAAAACATTTTTTTTCAATTGTGGTTTTTAAACTCATTCTTTTTGCCATCTCTCTCTCTCTGTCTCTCTCTCAGCCCCCCCCCCCCACACACACACACACCACCTTTGCCTTTGAGCACCGAGCAATAAAATTTAAATTGTGAGACTTTCTAAACTAAGACATTGTGATCTTATTTTGTTTAACTGATTTTTAAAAAAAATAGTTTGTTTTAATTAAGTAAAAAAAAAAAAAGTTTGGATAAAATAACTGTTCACCTGATCATTGCTCAGGAGAAACCTTTCCACTTCTCTAACTCTTACAGTTCCAAAACTTTTGTACTTTTTTAAACCTTTTGTTGTTGTTGTTGTTGTTGTTGTTGTTGTTGTTGTTGTTGTTATAAAGTGACTCGAGATATGTTACAGTATACAAACTTAGATCTCATTGGGTTTAATGCAATGCTTTCTTAAAGGCCATTAGATTATCAACCTTATATGTTTTACTGTAATTATCACTGACACTTCAAAAATGTTTGTTTAATTCTCCAAACTTTGAAACTACCTTTGAAAAATATGTAAAGAAAAAGTAGCAGGTATAACATGTTTTAAGGAGTCAGATTTTGTGATTCAGTAGGTGGGAATTGAAAGAAATATCTTTATAATTCATCGGTTGGCTCACATTTCAGATCCATGAGTTTGTTAAAGTAGTAACTCAGGCTGGGAAATAAGAACACAAAATGAATGAAACTGGACAATAATATATGATAAAAACTGATTTGTTAAATGACAGAAAAAGGGAAAAAATGACTAAATACAAACTCAAATTTTTACTCGAATTCCTTTTGTTGTCAGCTTTCTTCCACTTGATAAAACGTTGGTTACGTACTTTAACCCCAGATTCTATGAGTATAGGCGTAGCCCTTTAAGGCTGTCACTGATGGGTTTTATCCTGATATGCGGAGCATCACACTGAAAAATTTAGTCCACGCCCACCTGCTGTGTGGGCCCCACCCGGTCCGTATAAATAACATTAAGAGTGGGTAATCGGCTCCCAAATAGCTTTTTCTTCAGCCATTTAGGAGCCAGTGAGGCCCAACGCTTAAAGGGCTACGCCTATGCTCATAGAATCTGGGGTTACAGTACGTAACCAACGTTCTATTTCGTATAGGCTTCGCCCTTTAAGACTCTCGCTGATGGGTTAAGGGCGAAGCAGATGTGGTCCTCGCCTCACTGGGTCCATTCGAACACCGTATGAAGCAGAAGCTTTTCCAAAAAATGTCTTGTCACTCAGCTCCCCATGTACATAATTACGCATTGCATAATTATGTGTGCCATGCACAGACGCATGTTGTGTAACTATGCGTTCTGAATGCATGAACGCCACGGAAAAGTTCCAACGGGGAGGGAAAAGTGCTGAAAAGGAGCCATGAACCAACCGGTTTACGGCTGAACAGTTGGAACAGATTAATAATAACAGGAGAGCTGATTATTAATCAAATGAACTGATTGGTAACAATAGTCATGAACTGATTAGTGACAATAGAACCAAAATAACAATCAAAACTTGTGATTGATAACCACATCTCACACTGTAATGCATGCAGACAGATGTGAGTTAAACAGAGTTCCATGAAACAACAATATTCATTCTGTAAAACACCAAGTATAGAATGTGTCATGGAACGAGCCGTCACATCAGGTTGATAAAAGTGAATAAATGAGCAGGGTGTTGACCACGCGGTTGCAGTGTAAATATCCTACATTGACATATTATTATGCAAAGCAGTCGAAGATGCAATACCCCTAGTCGAGTGTGCCCTGGGGTTGACAGGAGGCTCTAAATCTGATGCTCTGTAGGCTTCAGAAATGGCCTCACACAGCCAATGTGACACTGGGTGGATAACAGGCGACCTGCAGATGCATCTCTATAATGCACAAACAGATGTTGAGTTTGACGCATTGCAGCTGTGCGTGCTATGTGACATGTCAACACCCGCACCGGACAGAGAAGATGGAAAGACGCTTCTTCTTCTGATCTGTGGGGGGGAGGGAAAAACCCCTCCAACTATATCGCTCTTGATTTAAAAGAACTCGTAATGTTTTTAGGCATAAAAGCTAGGTTTGGTCTTAAATCAGCTGAGCTGCCGTCAGCCTGAATTCTGAGACATGACAGAGCGAAGAGAGGGCAGATAAATCACTCACCCTCTTAGCGGATGTTAAAGCCAGTAGCAGGGCTGTTTTAAGAGACAAGAATTTAAATGGAACCTGATCCAGAGGCTCGAATGGAGATTTGATCAGGGCCTACAGGACCAGCGTTAAATCCCACTGTGGAACAAGTGGGCGTGAAACAGGCCTACGTCTCTGTACACCTTTTAGAAAACGCTTCATCAGCGGATGATTAAAAGCTGTTATGTCTCCGAACCTTCGTGGCAGGAAGAGATGGCTGCAGCATACGTTTTAATCGTGCTAGACGCCAAATTTCTGTCCATCAGCTGTTGCAGAAAAGACAGCACGTTGCCTAGTGGACATGAGGTGGCCTCTACACCTTTCTCTGTACACCAGCTCTGAAAAACTGTTCACTTTGATGTGTACAGCGCTGTGGTGGATGTAGCACGTGAATCCTAGATTGTGCACACTACATCCTGTGGGAGACCCATCCTCTCTAAGTAGATCTGCTCAGTGGCCAGACCCATAGGTGCTGGCCTATTTCTGAGTAACTCCTGATCGCTCCTCCTGCCTGGAAGAGAGCGTCCTCCCTCCACGGCAGTTTCCACGAGCACCCCGACAGCAGGCGTTGTAGGACTGTGAACCATGGTGCGGTCACGCGCTCGGGGGCCACCAGGAGAGCTGTCAATCCCTCCTCCTAAACTCGGTTCAGGAACCGTAAGAACAGAGGAGGTGGAGGAAACGCGTACAGAAGCGTTTTGGGCCATGGGCTGTGGGCAAACGCATCCACCCCCAGCGGTGGTTCGTCTCGCGGGCTCAGAGAAAACCGTAGTTGACACTGAGCGTTTTCTCGTGTCGCAAATAGGTCCACAGCCGCTTTGCCAAATTTCTGCCACATCTGAGCCATCAGGTCTGGATGGAGAGTCCAGTCCCCGTGAGTGGACCGCCCCTGGACATCACATCTGCCCCTTTGTTCAGAACACCGGATATGTAAACTGCTCCGATGGAGAGCAGATTTTGGTGTGCCCAACACAGTAGTTTTCGCGCAATGTGTAATGTCTGGGCTGAGCACCCCCCACCACCCCCACCCCCCGGTTTATGTACGCAGCAGTCACCTTGTTGTCTGTGTGAATCAAAATGTGTTGATTCTGTAGCACAGGAGCAAAGTGTTGAATCACGTTCAGCACCGTGCGACACTCCAAACATTTATGTGGGCTGATGTGTGATCGGGCCACAGCGCCCCTAGCCTGACAGTGACGCGTCTGTGAAGACTGACACGTGTGACTTGGGTCTGCTGACGGGGACTCCCTCCGACAGAACCAGGGTGTTTCCCCAGTGTCGGAGGTCTGCTCTCACGGAGGGAGGAACAGTGATCATCCGTCTCTTTTGTCTTACTGGATCCACACGCAGACGTGCAAACCACCTCTGGAGGCGTCTCATGTGTAGTAAACCCAGCGGAACTCCTGTGTGAGCTGATGACATCGTTCCTAACAGCTTCATGACGGAAACAGCTGTTATCACTCTGCCAGGTCTTACATGGCGGAGCTGGTCTTTTAGAGTGTTGATTCTCGTTTGTGATAAATGAGCCCTCATGGTGGTCGAGTTTAGCTCCACTCCCAGATAAACAATTGTCTGGGCCGGGAAAATCGAGCTTTTCTTCCAATTTATGGCGAAGCCCAGATTTAACAGGTGTGATGTCAGCGCCTGGGCCTGTCTCGCTGCCTCCTGTCTGGAGTGTGACAACAGCCGCAGGTCGTCCAGGTAAAACAAAACTCTCATCCCTGTTCTGTGTAACGGTTGCAGGGCCGTCTCCACATACTTTGAGAACGTACGAGGCACAAGGGAATACCCGAACGGCAGCCTGTTGTACTGATACTTCATCCCTTGAAAGGAGAAACGCAGGAATTTTCTGTTTTGGGATGATCGGTATGTGAAAATAGGCATCTTTCAGGTTGACGGAAAACAAACCAATCGTTTCTCTGGATTTTGTCCAACAGCTGTCTGGTTGTCAACATGTGAAACGGTCTGTCCATGATCGCCTTGTTAAAAACTGACAGGTCCAAAATCGGTCTCATTCCTCCGGTCCGTTTGGGAACCAGGAAGTAACATGAGTAAAACCCTGTGTTTTCCTCTCCGTTGGGAACCCTGGAGATCACTTCTTTTACCAGAAGTTCTTGGACTTCTGCATTTAAAAATGATATTTGGTCTGGTGATGACAGGACCGTCTCTAAAATTCCTCCGAATGGAGGGGTCGGGTTGCAAATTGCAACGTGTAACCCTAGCTTAACAACCTGGCCATCCATCTGTCTGGCGAGCATGTTTTTAGCCACTCCGCGTAACGTTCGTGGAGTGGACGCGTTTAAATGATGCGTCATGTTTTGTACGGATGTCATCCAGTCCACCGCCTCGACCGCCGTCATGTGTCACGGGAATGTTTTCCGTGTGACCCAAGGCGAGGCTTCCTCGAAAGGGCTCT